ATCAGTATCATCCAACTTCAATCACTGAGACCTATACAAAGATGTCGCTACAAAATATATAGGTGCAATAGTCATATAAATGTTATGGAAGTAACCAACAACTTTTCGATTAGATTTAAGACCCACTCCATGCTATGGAACCCATACTTGATTGCTATTATGACTAAGAACCTGATATTAGATAGTATTACCCTACTACAGTTATTCCGCTAAAGGATTATAGCAACAAAATGACTCTTAATGACATATTGTTGTACCCATAGATCAGTACCTTGCTCAAATCCCATCAGAAAAGCTTGGATAGTAACTAACAGAGTGTGAGAATTTGGAGCTGCTGTTCATAAATGGATGAGTTCATCAAACTCCTTGCCTCAGGGCTCAGGGAACTGTGTGAAAGAGGGGGCAGAAACCTAAGAGCCAAAGATGGTTACCTCCAACAAAACAGTGTTCCCCAGACACACCAGGACTGATGCATTGTTAACTCAGAGAAACTGTGGCCACATACTACAGAGATTAAAATGAGACAGAGTCACAGATCTAAGAAGGGAAATACAAAGTCCCATCCCTAACCAAGAATCTATTTGTAATTGATATCTGAAGAAAAAAAGGAAAATCAGTTTCCCCCACCAGAGTGACCCTGGGAATACTGACTGCATTTCAACCACATCCAGGGTAGACTCCGTACCCAGGAGAAGTTGACCAGCCCAAAACTGACTCTGTATGTGTTTGTTCCGGCTTTTTTGCTTTGTTTTGTTGATTTTTTTATTGCTTTGATTTTCTTTTATGTTGTTGTTTTGTTTTGTTTTAGTTTGGAGAGAAAGGGAGAGAGAGAGAATATGGAGCTGAGTAAGTACAGCTGGGGAGAATTTGGAGGAGGGCAAAAACATTATCAAAATACAATTTTTTAATAAAAAAGTACATCAAAGTACAATTTTTTAATAAAAAATAATCAGTTGAGATACTGGTTGAAATTTCATTGACTCTGCAGACAAATTAAGGAAAGATGGAAATATTTAATTATTAATAATATATTCATGTCTTCTTGTTAATAAGCATATGAGAATATAGTTTGTCCACTTACTTGAATAGTTTGAGTTTTTTAGATAAAGCTTTATGGTTTCCCCCTATGCTTTCCATATCTTTCGTAGTAGGCTTCAGATGGTCCTCAACCTCTGGATTTCATGTCTTTGACTCTCTTACCCTTGAATATCCAGTCAACCTTAAAGAGATTATTACACTAATCCCAGGCTCAAAAATCTTTCTGGTGACTTCTGGTTGCCTAGGAGATAAAACTCAGACACCCTAGGCTGGATTTAAACTTTCTGTTTTCCCTTCCTAACTTCACAGTCTTTCCTCCGAATGGAGAGAAGAGTTACAGAAATTAAGTAAGATTGGAGATGAACTGTGTCTTCCTCACCTACTGACTTAGGGTTTGCACAAGTGACTTAGCTTTCCTGGCTTCTTCTCCATGAAGGAAGTAAAACACAAAGCCTAAATGAGCCTGTGTATGAAAGGCAAGAGGCACTTGTGACTTTAGCATTCATTGTCATTAGCATGTTAGCATTATCATCTACACATTCAAAACAGTTCTGTGGCTTCTCTGAATAAATAAAAATCATGATGCTCACGTCGGCCTCTTTGCTCTCTGAAGTGAGTCTCAGTCTATTTTTAGGTTGTGAGCTGAGTCCGGAAACAGAGAGTAACAGTCTCTCTAGATGCTAAAATGAATTCAAATATCTGACAAGTTGAAGGTTTGGAGCAGAAGCTGGACAGAGACAGGCAAGGGTGCAAAGACAGAGCTAACTCCTGACTCACCTCTGACATACCAGCAGCAAGTCCAAAACCATATTGGCAAAGAGATACAGCTACAGTCAAAATTGACTTGGATATGCAAGAGAAACCACTTATAACCTGTTGGTCACCATAGAGCAGAGGTCACCTAGCCATTGTAATGCTCAGAGCCATGTGAGCAGCAAGGTGGCTGGTTCAGGGTCTGCCTGGCTTATAGAATACTCTGTCCAGAATGATATATTCTTTTCAGTGATGAGAACCTGGTAATGGCCAGGCAGGTTGCTAAGCTGCCTACCACACAGGACTGGGTTCAGAATAGGAGAGTCCCTGAGACAGCAGCTTCACTCTGCCCTTGTGTTATCTAACAAGGTGACAATAGCATTGTTTTCTCCTTAGAGTCATCTTAGGAGTACAGCAGCTACTCTCTTGCTACAGCGCATGATGGCACATCATATGAAACATGGAAAGGTCACACAGTCGCCCACCCCAGGACGTCTGTTATATGAAATTCCCTCCCACTAAAGATAAAATCTGAAGCTAGACCTCAGGGAAGGAGACCTAAAGCACTGGAGAGCCAGTCCCTGTCGGGGATTTACAATGAGTCACCAGTTCTAGAAAGATCCCTAAACCATCTGACAGAAATGCCAGCTGAGTAAGGAGAAACCTGTCTGTGTTCTGCGCCCATCTATGAGGGGGTCAGGTAACCAGTGACGCGGACAACAAGGAGAATCCATGGCTGTCATCAGACACAATGCCTATCAGGTTGTGGTAGCAGAGTGGGCAGCTTTCTGTCTCCTTGCTGATGCTGCGACCGAGCTGACCTTTAAGATGCTGGCATTAGCCAAGTCTGTACAGCAAGGAAGGGAGCAAAAGCAGGTCTTAAGTGGCTGGAGGTGAGTGGAAATGTGTGAGAGACATCACATATCCCCCCCCTGCTTCTTCTGTTTTCAGAGAAAGAAAGGAATGTGGGTCCCATCTGGAAGATGAGAGTGGTGACCACAGAGCAGGGTCCATAGAGCAAAAGGGAATGAGTTGTTTCTAACAGCGGCAATTCAGCCTTGCCTCTTAAATCATCCTCACCATTAGAATCAGGGGCACAGTGGCGTGTGGAGAATGAGCTGCATTGAGAACTAGCTAATGGAGATGCTTTATCCTGAGCTAGGAGCTAGTGAATAGTTTCTCTTGTTTGCGAGTCAGGAGACCGACACTCACCTGGGATGGATTTAGAATTCATAGACCACAGCTCAAAACCACTTAAAAGGCAGAGGAATCTCATATCATTTCTGCTAAATATCAGCAGAGCCCACCTTGTGGTCTAACCACCATAATGGGGCTTGGGGACTTCCTTTTGACACATGATTTTGGCCCCATATTAATAATATGAGAAACTTCAACAAGAACACAAAATTGTTCTTTGGAAATGGGTTTTGAAAGTCCCACCCCAGCTGGTTTTCTTCGTGGTTCAGCTGCCACCACCCCCTACTATTACCCCAGTGACAGCGACTTAGTGGCAATAAGCGAGGTGGTTGGAAAACTTTCCTCCTTGCAACCTAAGGCCCAAGCCCTGTGGTGGGACCCCACTGGGGAGTTTGCTTCCTGTCAGCACAGTTTGCTCCAAGCCACCCTTGCTCTGGGCTGCCAGGGCCTGTGGTCTGAACTGTGTGACACCAAGATTCAATTACTGTAAAGTGTCTATTTACTAACGGACGTTTCCAGTAACCTTGCTGTGGGTTCAACATGCTTTGAGGCTAAGCAGGCAAGCTTCAGAGGAGGCTAAGAAGTGTTTTGTTGACAAAGGGCCTTCTGGAGGGACTGCTCCTCTGGCCCACTCAGGATAAGGTGTGAAAGGTTCTCAGAGGTCAGCAGTCATGGCTGAGGAATATTTGGTTAAGCTTTGGAGGCCTGGAAATTAGCAATGCTCCTTTCGGTGTATAGTACCAGAGAAATTCTTCTCGGTTCCTCCTATTTGTGCCCTGGCATGTTAAGCAATGCCCCTCACACCGATCTCACTGTGAGCAAACTACATGGTTCCAAGCAACATTAATGCAAATACTTTTCTTGTAAACCTTGAGTTTTCTTGGTTTGAGAGTCCTAATCATTTTGTGCTTCTACTAAAGATTTTGTAGAAGGTCAGTAACCCCTTCTCCTTTCTCTGATTTTAAGGGAGTCAGCCGAGCCATAAATTCCTACCTGTAATAAATTCGTACCCACAGAAATTTGTGAAACTTGGTCTCAATGCCAAGTGTCATGCTCTAAGGTCAGTGGGAAGCAATTCAGTCAAACTTCATATATCCTTCAGTTCTTGCTCAGCAATGCACAGCTGAGAAGTTTAGATGAAAACAACCAGCAAGCACACACAGGTACACACACTCTTATGATTCAGGTTGCACAGTCTTAACACTATGTCATATGGTTGTTTAGGAATAATGTGCTACACTATGCTTCCGGCATAGTTTCCCTATGGAAATCTATGCTTCAACATCTCCAATACAGCGGCATGTCACATGGTTTCGACCACGTTACATAAACAGGAAGAAATTTGGGGCATTGGGTGGTGGTGTATAGGTCAAACAGCTAGTAGTGAAAGAACAACACATGCAATATACAATTCGGTGAAGGAGTTATGGATTTTTTAAAATTTAACACATCCATTTGGTGAACTACCTTTTTTATATAACGAAAGAAACATTAATACCTGGGGTTGGCTTATTTCACAACCACTTATTGGGTTTTATGGTCCAATTTTTTCAAAACTAAACAGTTTTTTCCACAATAATTTTTAAGGCTTCCCCACATCACTAATGGGGCATCGCAGATACTTAACACAACCATGTCCCGGAGGTCTTTTCACATGTTCCATTAAAAAATACCCCAAAGATTCAGAAGACTCTTCACCAGAAATGCCCATAAAGAAATTTTATCACTTGATCCTCAGTACTAGTGCCAAACTTCCTCTACTCCTGATGGATGATCTGCCCCAATGTAGGAAGAGAAGAGGAAATATCTTGAAAGAGACCAGAGATGACTTCGGTTCCAGGTGAAAAAGGGTTCAGACATTGGTGTGGGAAAATTGTCTGTATTCTGCCAATCATATTTTAATAAAACGCTGATTGGCCAGGCAGGCAGTATAGGCGGGAAAGCCAGACAGGAAGTAGGGGTGGAACAAAGAGACTGGAAGTATTCTGGAAGCAGAAGCTCCCTCCGCCTCTCCTGGGCAGACCACCAAAGAGGCAGCATGTAACTTGCCCAGCTGAAAAAGGTACCAAGCCGTAGGGCTAACGTAGATAAGGATAATGGGGTAATATGTGTCATAAGAACTAATAAGTAGCCTGACCTAATGGGCCAATCAGCTTTATAATCTTATGGAGTCCTGTGTGTGATTTTCTTTGGGATTTGCCGGCTGTGGGATACAGGGCGGGATAGAAACCCCAACAAGCCAGCCCTCATGTTACATATGGCGCCAACGTGTGGACAACTGTATCCACATAAAGCCTGAGACAGCTTGGGAAGTAATTCTAGAACAAAATAACAGCATTATGCATGATTTCTTGGTAGCAGCAATTTCTCAGGTCTGCTCTGCTTGCTAGAGACAAGCAAATGCTCTCATCTAAGAGAGGCTTCCTGACTCAGCTTTAGCTGCAAAACCTTGCAGCTCTTTTAAGAGGTCCTGCCGCGAAGCACTTAAACGGTATTGATGAAAAGCTGACCGCATGCTTTTCGGGTTTTCAGCCGTAGCAGGAAAAAAGCTGCACTTTTTAAAAATGCCGTCTTTCTGGACTGTCCTGCCGGAGCAAACTCTGACTCTTTCAGGCAGGCAGTCCGACTGAGTGTGGTCTGTCAGCAGAATGCTGCAGCTTTCTTGCTGGCAAGGACCTTGAAATGCCATAGAGTTGTGGCAGTGAACACAGCTCTGGCTGGTATCTCAGCCATGATGCTGAAAAGCTAAGGAATGGGCTGGATCTAACTGTCAAAGCTACGGCTTTAGTCCTACCCATTGAAGACTCTTGTGGTCAGAAAAAGAGAGATATACAGTAAATAGAGATTCAAAGAGGAAGAAAACCTCTAAATGGTTTACTATGTGTTAAAAATATATGCAGGATAAAAGTTAAAGTTCTTAAAGTAAAAAGAAAGAGAGTAGTTGGGTGTGGTGGTACACACCTTTAATCCCAACACTTGGGAGGCAGAGGTACATTGACCTCTGTGACCTCAAGGTGTGGTAGTACATGCCTTTAATCCCAGCACTGGGGAGGTAGAGACAGGCATCTGCCTCTGTGAGTTCAAGGACAGCCTGGTCTACAGAGTTATTCCAGGACAACGATATACAGAGAACCTGTCTCAAAAAGTAAAAGTAAAAATAAAAGAAACAGAAGTTAAAATAAAGATGGAAAATATACAGAAAATCTTGATACTGTATGCTGTTATGCTCTCTTTGAATTGTTTGAATGCTGAGGAAGGAGCAACAGCTGCTAAAGGACTGTTGTTTATAAATACTGCTGAACTAACCCAAGATAGGTATTTTGAAAATACCTTGGCTTCAAAACTGAAGTCAAAATGTTTGTTACTTTGGAGAAGAGATTTTTCTTTTGTTTCCACAGAAAATGAGAGGCTGTGGATTTATTCTGAGTTAAGAAAAATCAGGTTTGAAAAAGGAAGACCACCTGAGAAATCTCCAGTAGGAACAGATGGCCCAGATGACAGAGTTCTACATTCAGAACAGATTCAAAACTACTGCCTGAGATGATCAAGACTCACAGGATACTCCAGTCATGACTTGATTATAACTCTAAATTTTCTTTAGGTCCCCATAAGATCATCAGCGCCCCCAACCAGTAGGAAGTAGCCTGGAATACTATGCCCACATTCCCAACAAATGGACTTTGGGTATTTTCCTTTGTTTAAAAAAAAAAAGAGGGAAATGGTGTGGGAGAATTGTCTGTATTCTGTCAATCATATTTTAATAAAACGCTGATTGGCCAGGCAGGCAGTATAGGTGGGAAAGCCAGACAGGAAGTAGGGGTGGAGCAAAGAGACTGGGAGTATTCTGGAAGGAGAAGCTCCCTCCGCCTCTCCTGGGCAGACCACCAAAGAGGCAGCATGTAACTTGCCCAGCTGAAAAAGGTACCAAGCCATATGGCTAACGTAGATAAGGATAATGGAGTAATATGCGTCATAAGAACTAATAAGTAGCCTGACCTAATGGGCCAATCAGCTTTATAATCTTATGGAGTCCTGTGTGTGATTTTCTTTGGGATTTGCCAGCTGTGGGGTACCGGGCGGGATAGAAACCCCAACAAGCCGGCCCTCATGTTACATAGACATTACTATGGGCACAGATGTATGAGTAGACAAAATTTGGATAACTTACAGATAGAAGATGCTCCCACGCTGACAAAAGAAAACTAAGGCATGTTGGACGGAGGTTTATGTCGAACACGATGTGTGTCATTCAAATGTACTACAATGTCTATATGTTGTAAATGGGAATGATGAGAATTTGAAAATCAGAAATGATTATGATGAATCTAACCCTGCTCTTTCCTTCTGCCAGTGCCACCCAGCAGGTGATAGTGGCGTCTGACAGCTTCTCAGCAAGCTTGACAGAGCAGTGGTAGTTCTGAGCAAATACATAGATTGCTCCTAAAACACAAAAATAAAATGTAGGAAGGAACCTCAAGATAATCTTGAGGAAGTAGGGGAGTATAGCAAGGCAATATTATGAAAATATTCTTTCCATTCTAAGAGACTGGAAATGGACCTTCCAGCCAGGGTTAATAACAAAATTCTTTGAGGTCATTTAAGACTTAAGATTGTTAGCCTCCTGTAAACCTGTTTGTTTAACCTGATTTTAAGAAAAAAAAATATAACAACCAAACTTACTTGCTTTATCACAAAGATTGAAATCAACCATTTATGGATATTAAGTGATAAACAGTTAGTTTGTTATCTGGGTCAGTTGGAATCAGTTGGAGCCAGAGACTGTTAAAAGTCTGTTGAAGAATCTCATTCCTTCCCCCATATGATACCTCCTATGCTACTCAATAAACACAGAGTGAAAACATTTGCTAGGGACAGACAGACACCACTCACACAGTATATAGAGTATACACAGACACTCATGTTGATCATATAACAAATAGTCACACAGTTAGGGATAGACAAACACCGTCATGAACGGATTCACAAGACAGGCTTCAGGCAGGCACAGACCAGAACCAGACTCACAACAGACAGAGGACAGAAGATGTGGGGAGCATGAAATACAGAATTCAAGTCTGGATTCATTTAGCTCTTGGTTAAATCATTCCAAGAGGAAGAGTTTTTGTTTCCTTCCTTAATGTGACACTATTGGTAACTTAGACTTATGCTAATGCATTATAATCACTAATGCACTATAATTCATACAAGAGAAGGCAATGCTATAGAATCAAGAAACAAAGAGCAGTGAGGCTACTTCATATGTAAAAAACTGAACCTTCAAAAATAAATAAAAATATGCAAACCATAAGTTACTTAAACAAATAGAATAAGAGGAAAGAGAAATGAAAGCCAATCATCGTCATAAAATAGAAGGAGAAGATATGAAGTGGTCAACTTCATACAAAAAACTTCAATAGTAAGAATTTGATGACTTCTAAAAAGCTAAAAAGGTCTCTGATTGATCAGAGACTTATTCCTAGGCTGTTAAACTAAGTCCAGATGAGCCATTCGGCTACTCAGACACTAGATGGTCCAAAGTCATGTCAATCCCAAGATATTTTCTTATCTTCTTACATACAGTTCAGCGCCTTATTCAGTACAGTCAGTCTTCCCAGAATTCCTGGACATGGAAGCTCATCCCCCATCTCTGTGCTGACCATTTGACTCTCTAAAATGCCACATTAAAACAGCCTAAACAGGTTAAGCAGTTAGAAGGCAGATCTCATAGTTAGCAAGGAGAAGAGTGACATAAAGAGGGAGGATAGGATGTGGGACATTAACCATAGTTGTTAAAGAACCAGCTGAAGGGTGACCCAGAATGTAATGATAAAATGCATGATAAGATTGGACTGCACAGTCAAGCTGAAAGTGATGACATAGGGCAAAGCAGTGATGGACACGGTGGGGTATGTGAGGGAATAGACATGGACCATAGAAGGCTACAAGTCTGCCATGTATTTAAGTGCATGAACTTAATTTTTGTAATGTTAAGTTGGGAGCCTCACCCCAGTCCCTGGCATCCATCCCAGCCCCCGCTCCAGCCTGGGAGTTGCATTGGTCTGGACTTCAAATCCCAGCATGCCAGGTCCTGATCCCTCCCTGGGGGAGGGTCAGGACCACTCCCATAGGGTATTTAAGTGGGCTCCCAGAGGAGGAACATGTGGTCCCGGGTTTTGCTTGTGCTCCCCGGTTTTTTGTCTCCCCTGCCATGCTCCCAGCCACCCGAGAGTGCTGCATTTATTTTAAAAAAATGGGCATTTTAATTTGGTTTGATTTGGCTTGATTGGATTTCTGTGTGCTGGCACAGAAGATTTTTCTTCACAATTTTATTATATATAATACCTCCATAGAAAATATTTATCTCTTGCATACAATTGATAAATATTTATGAGATGGTGATCATTGTATTTTTGTTAAAAAATAGAGGTATTTTGTTTCATTCAGCACTTTACCAAAAATTTTCCACTGTTTTAGAATATCATGTCACCAAAAGTCATTTATTTTAAAGTATTTGTATCATGTGGTTGTTTTAAATAGAATGACCTTCATGGGTTCATATATTTGAATGCTTAATCACCAGGGAGTGGCATTATTAAAAGGATTAAAATAATTAATAGGTGTGGCCTTGTGGGAGGAAGTGTGTCACTGAAGGTGGGCTTTGAGGTTTCTCAAGCCCCCTCCCAGCCCAGAGTCTCTGTCTCTCTCTGCCTGTGGAGCAGGATGTAGTTCTCAGGTACTGTTCCAGTGTCTGCAGCATGCTGCTATGCTTTCCACCATAACGTAATGGAGTAAACCTCTGGAAGTGTATGCAAGCCTGGGTTAAATACTTTCTCTCATGAGAGTTGCCCTGGTCATGGTGTCTTTCACAGCAACAGGACAGTGATTAAGAAACACCCATCAGCACCATCTATATACAGGTGCCTTGGTCACGGATGCTGCACATACTCACACATGTGTTTACTGAGGTCCTATTTCCACACTTCAAATATAAAGAAAGTATGCAACGTAAGTTAGGTACTAGTGTCAGAGTACTTCTGTATGACTAATGTAGTTTTGTCTGAGTATTGAGGAAAAAGAACACTATTATATTTCATGTAAAAATACTTGGCTTCATTTTTTAAATTACATAATACACTCACCAATGAATTTCATTTTTGGAGTAGAAAATAATGTTGCAAAGTAGTCCTTTTATTTATTCCCAACCTTCTTCCCAAGAGGCAGACATTTCTGGTGGACTCAAATCTCTGCCACACCTATGGCTGATATTCATTCTCGTTATCAAATATCCTGTCAGCCGTGGTCCTTCTCTACAACATAAAATCATAGGTCTCCATCCACGAGTGGCTACACTAAATTCTGCAGCCCTACCTCTCCTGGGAGGCTGGGCAGTGGTAAGTGTTAACTGGACTTACTGTGCACACATCTGTGTCTTTCGGAAGCAACTCTCACAGCACCTTTGAGTGGCTAACGTGTAGAGAGAAGCAAGTTAGGATAATTTACTCTTCAAGAAATGTTATACATTCACTACATGGAAAAAAGAAAAAAAAGAAAGCAGCCACCTTTTTCTACAAAAAACACACACAAAATAAAAGGTGTCAGTTATAGATCATAGTGTCCTACACAAAAGAGTCCTCTAAACTATTATCTACTGCATGAAACTGGATTAAGAACAGCCCATTTGCAAGAGTTCTTAAAGAATTCAAAGTAGAGCTACGCTTCTGACTGACACAGCCTCTGATTTCTCTCCCCTAGATTACCAAGATTACAAAATTGCCTTCAATTCAACCAAAGAAAATCATTTTTGTTCTTTTGAAATAATTTAAGAAAGGGTCATTGCAAGAGGAAAGAGAGAGAGAGAGAGAGAGAGAGAGAGAGAGAGAGAGAGAGAGAAAAGAAAGAAGGAAAGAAAGCAAAGATTCTAGCATTAGGAAAACTGAGAACTACTAATTTCAAAGAGCAGCTCCTCCTTTGGAACTCTGGGGAATTTCTCAAAGTGCCTTGGTATAATAAAATGGTCTGTACAGAAAAATCAAACTATATTCTGTACTTTGACTCAGCAGTTTCTAGACTGGGTGAAAACTCATAATGTGTCTGAGAATAGTCAGCCTTACTACTATTAGTCAGCCAATAGTCAGCTTACTACTGCTATCCTGCTAAAGGAACAGAGCAAGAAAACGATTCCTTGTTGGGAGCCATGCTTGCCCAGCTTGTCTCCAAGTGAGGCAAAAGCCATTGGTGAGAGTCTCACTCAGCAAGGGTCAGTGAACTCTGGGGCAGCTCAGAATACCGCTGGGACCACGCAGCCTGCACGTTTTCTTTTCTCTTAATATTTGTGATTCTCTTGGTGATTTTAGTGTTATTTTGTCAATCACACATGGGATAGACGTGATCATTCCTGGAAACCCCATTTTTTCTTGACTATTTTTCCCTAAAATTCTTTGTGAGCGAGTGTTTCTCAGGTTTCCTGTCTGGGGATGCCAGCTGTCACTTCAGACCCCAGGAGCTTTTCCAGTTCAGCACTGACAGCATCAGAGGCAAATCAACCCTTTTTCTGTAAATATGTTTTGAATGATATTGTCCTTGAAAATGTGTGCCTGTGTTTATTACCTTTAGTCTTGTAAAGACAAGATGTACCTAGCTCGGTATTTGGTCAAGCTAGCAAAATGATAAATGTTGTTTTGGGTTTAAAGATGTTTTTATGTAAAAGTTGGTAAAAAACATATTTGACATATTTGTTTTTGCCACAGGGCTAACATTGGAGTATGGGGGAAACTTGCTTGTTAGTATGGAAAAAATATGCTTGTTTTTGATGTATAAATAAAGATGGCTAGAGCTATTCGGGGCCAGCTCCCTGTGTGAAACTCATCTGGTGGTCAGACAATTCATTTCTTCATGCCAAAGCCCCTTCTCCATGTCAGGACCTGAACCCAGGACACAACTGGACAACAACCCCTAATGACACATGGCTATATCAGTAGATTGGTGGCAGAGATGGAGTTTGGATCTGAACAATCCCATTTCATGCTGCTCCTTTAATCAAATGACTAGAAATCATAGCTTGACTTTCATGTTCACCAACTGCATGACCAGGACAGACTCCAGACATCTAGAAACTTGCACTTCCCCTGGGAGGTGGGTAGCAGCTGCTGAGTGTCATGCTGAGTGCCATGACACCGAATGAAGTTAAGAGTGTAGAACTAACAACTAGTAAGAATTCAAGAGGAGTTATTGGCCCCAAGCGATGTGCGCATAACAACAGAAATCTGTTATGACAATTGGCACCAAGACCAGCAGAAAAACTACCAGCTGAGCCTGGGAATTGAGAGAAATACCCAATGGTTGACATGGTTTTAAGCCACCAAGCTTAGCTATGATTTAACTACTGCAACTATGCTAACCAAAAGGTTTTGTGAGTAAAGATCTTGATTTCATCTGTGCATCCATAATACTTGGACCCAGGGAGTCCACATTGTATATGGAGTTGATATTATCTCCTTCCCTTCAGTGGATCAGGAACAGCTCCCAGGGGCAAGTGTGTGAAAAAGGTCAACCTCTATATTAGCACTGTTGGGAAGTGGTAGAAACTGGAAGAGGTAGCCTCTGCCAGTCGTTGGGTAAATGTCCTTGAAGGAGAGATGGGACACTACTCTGTCCCTTTATTTTCTCTTTTAATTCCCTATTGTCTTAGTTTGGATTTCTAATGCTGTGCAGAGACACCATGACCAAAGCAACCCTTACAAAGGAAAACATTTCATTAGGGCTGGCTTACAGTTCAGAGGTTTAATCCTTTATCATCATGGCAAAAAGCATCATGGAATTCAAGTAGATATGGTGCTGGAAAAGGAGCTGAGAGTTTCACATCTGGATTCACATCAGCAGGAAGTGAATGTCACTTTAGAGCTGACTTGAGCATTTGGGACTTCAAAGCCCATCCCCTAGTAATACACTTCCTTCACCAGAGCCACACCTAATAGTGCCGCTTCCTACAAGCCTATGGAAGCCATTTTCTTTCAAACTACCACATCCATCATGAGGTGAACAAATTTGGCCTGGCTCCTCCTCCTGACATGTGTGCTAGCCCCCCATGACAGACCTCAAAGAAATAGGCCATACCTATCATGAAATAAAAACCCTAAAACCATGATCAAAATTAAATCTTTTCTCCTCACATTTATTTTCCTGAGGTCACTGTTATAGCAGAAAGCTAATATACAATCTATCCTTCCATCCTATTGATTGAAAGCGGGTCTCCAAAGTCAGATATGGAAACCTGCCTCCAATGGGATGAAATTTAGTGCTGAGGCCTTAGCACTCTGATTAGATTGTAAGAGGAAGTCTATATCAATAGGACTAATGACTTTAGTAATGATGTACAGAGTTACCTAGTCATTTCTATCATGTGTGCCACAGGAGCAAGTTGGATCTTACCAGAAACAGGAGTTACCAATGGTTCAGCCATAGACTGTTCAGTCTCCATTAAGAGGTGTAAATGTTCTTTGCTTAAGTCATCCAGTTTGCACAGTTGTTTTTTTTTTTTAACTATAACAGCTCAAGAAAGTAATCCACACCGAAGACATTAAAATGACATAGTACTATAGGACAGTAGCCAGAGAAAGAAAGTTAGATTCTCAAAACATAAATGCTTTCTCGTGATCCGTCTCGAAAGTTTTCCATCAATACCCTACAGAGTCCTGTCAAAAAAATAAGAAGGAGAATACCTGTTGCTCTTCCCCCAGTAAGTATATCGGGTTATCTACGGCTTTACTGACTTCCTTGAGACTCTTCCTCCCATAGAAACCTCAAAACAGAGTTTCTGGAGAGATTACATCTTGGAGATAAGAGTGAGAGAAACCCTGCCCGTCTGCTTCTGACTGTGCAGTCCTCGGTGAACAGCAGAACCTTATCTTCCTCTGAAGCCTTGCCTCTTCGCTGCAGCAAGGTGTGTTTCTCTCCTTAAACATTGAGTGCTTATTCCCTATTCTTCCTGCTCTTCTTTCCTGTTCTAGTATCTTGTATTTTACGCCTATTTATGCCTTCTTTCTCACATGCTGCCTACTCCTTACCCACATCATTTACCTATAAAAAATGAAGCACTGTGCAAATGCATTACACAAATTGTCTCATGTAGCCCTTTCACCAGCTCCAGGAGCTACACATTGTAATTTTTAATCTATAAGTAAGAAATCCTGGGCTTATGAAGATTTAGCAAAGATCTCAGAGTCTCATAGCTAATGGAGCAGCCAAATGCTAAACCTAGACCCATGTGGACCTACAACACAAGAATCTGAGAGACTGGGAAAAGATTCAAGCATGAACTACACTCACACCTTTTAAAAAATTAGGAGGGGCTGGAGAGATGACTTAGCAGTTAAGAGCAGTGGCTATTTTTCCAGAGGACCTGGGTTCAGTTCCCAGCACCCACATGACAGCTTACAATTGCTTGTAACTCTAGTTCGAGGGGATCTGACACCCTCACACAAATGTGCATATAAAATAAAAAGATAAAATAAAAATTTTAAAAATTAGAAAAGTTGAAGAGAAACAACAGATATTTTTGTGAAAATAAAAATAGAAACTTCTTAAACATAGTGCAGATGGGATTACCCAAGAAAAAATGTTTCCCTTCCCACTTATGTGGAATGTATGAGGCGGCCATCTTCCTCTTTTTCTTAGAACCCTTACTCTGCAGGGTCAAAATGAGCAAACAGCAACCACATAAGTAAAGAGGTAGATTGAGATGCGATCAGAACTTCATTCTTGTGGTTGTCATAAAATTCTGTACCACAGCCCTTCTTCAGAAGCCAGATCATGTGATCAAAAATTACAAGCTTCTAAATTCTGCATGACATTCTATATTGGAGCACAGGAACACAGGATGCTAAGTCATTGCCATGGGCAAAGACCGGGTCTAGTGTTGTATTTTCTAGGCTGCTGAAAATACACTAAGAAGTCAGTTAAAGATAGAGACAAGAATATTTTAGTAAGATGCCTAGCAAACAGCTGCTATGAATTAGAGACAAATCTTCATATGTTTCAACCCTGTACTGCTCTGTACAGCAAAGCATTGCTGTACAGTAAATAAATATCAAAGTCAAAGTCCAGCTAATGTGTGATCATAATAAGGTCAGGACCAATAACTCCTCTTGAATTCTTACTAGCTGTCAGTTCTACACACATAACTTCATTCAGTATCATGACACTGAGTATGACACTCCAACTGCTGCTACCAACTTTCCAGGGAGAAGGGCAAGTTTCTAGATGTCTGGAGTCTGTCCTGGTCATCAAGTTGGTAAGCTTGAAAGTCAAGCTATGATTTCTAGTCATTTGATTAAAGGAGCAGCATGAAATAGGATTGTTTAGCTCCAAACCCCATCTCTGCCACCAATCTACTGGCATAGTAATATGTCATTAGAAATCAATTTATTGCTATGTTCCCTTAGAAGCATAATAGTAGTAAGTATTCCCCTACGACACATGACCTCTCTATTCTCAGTCACTTTAGCAGTGTCGGGTGTGAGTTCCATCTCATGGAATGGACTTAAAGTCCAATTTTTTTTAAACAAGTGGTTGGTTACTCCCGTAACATTTGTGGCACTATGGCACTAATGTATCTTGCAGACTGGTAACTGTCACAGGTCAATTGATGCAACTGATGATTACCTTTCTCTTCCAGCAGTGTGTAGAGTATCTTCCAACATCATGAAGGCTAGTCAATCTAGATGAAGGTTTTAGTTAGCTACCAGTGTGACTTCTCTATGTTCAATGACATAAGCAAGTGTTGTCTTCAGCAATGGAACCTTACCAGAAGAATAATTAACTTTAATAATTTTGTGTTTCTGAACCTTGTTTCCCCAGCCACAGTGTTTCTAGACGCCTTAGGGCCACTTGCCTCTTACAGGCCTTATTGTTGCCTTACAGCTGTGCTGGCCCTTTGCTCGTCTTCAGACATCATAAGTACACTCCACCTTGGAGACTTTGCTGTTCCCTCAGATCTTCCCAGATTTTCTTCTCCAGAGAGCCCCTTGCCAGTTCACTCGGCCTCTTGCTCATATAGATTTTGTCATGGGCTTCTCTCTAGTAGCTGACCATGTTCTCGGATTTTTACCATGGCCACCCACTCTGACATATATTTGCTTATGTGCTGGTTATCAGGATCCTTCTAGAGAAACCAAGCCCACGAGAAGGAAGTGCGTCCGGTTCTCACCATCTGCCTGACTCAGTGATTTCCAGCTAGCATTTCTCTGCAAGGATTTAGTAAATGATTGAATTTCAGCTCCTGTAAAGCAGAAAGCTCTGGGCCACACCAAAACCACTGGCCCATGTTAATTGGTTTCAGAAATGAATACAGGACTGATGGTATTTCTGACTTAGAGACGGGAAATATTCCTCGAGGGATTGACTGTGTTCAGTGCAAAGCAGCTCCTAAGGGAAAGATGAGGTAAAGACAGAGAACCAGGGAGGAGAAGCAAGAAAACTGTGTGAATGATAGGGAGCCTTGTTACTGAAGGGCCTTGAAATCCTTCCAGGAACTAAAGAAAGAGCAGAAAAATCAGGGCCTATGTTGCTCCACGCTCTGGCAGGAGTGCGGCTGAGCAAGATGTCACTCCTGCTTCAGCAAACTGCTCAGAGTGAGAATGTGGGTCACAGCAACCCAGGCAATAGCAGATTCCAAGAAAACTCCAATGGGGGAGCAGGAGGGGAGGAAGAAAGACTTGTGGACAATAATACAAGAAAGTAGTTGGTGATGTGGAGGGAAACAATGAGAAATTCTCACAGTGAAAGACATTTTCTTCATCAGCCATCATAAGCATTTTACAATAAATGGCTGATCTAGCCAAGATTCTCCAAAAGACAGGGGTGAAGATGCTCCCACAGGGAAGCCACCCCCAAAACCTGCACTTTAGAAGTGCATAAACACAAACACAGAAATGACGTAGGTGTGCCTTCTTGTTACAGGACGACACTAGGGTCTGCTGGTAAGTGCAGTGGAGTACGCTGGGAGGTTTTTATGAAGAATTTCCTGACGCAGGGAGCAAGCTCTGAATTAGCTCTTTCCCTGTTTCTGACCACTGGATGTATACACCGGCAGCATAGTGTTCAACTGTGAGGAAAAAAAAATAGTTATGTCAGCAAAAATGCTGGATCAAGCTGTCTGAACCAGACTGGCTTCTGCCATTTAGCAGTTAACTTAATTCATCAAACTTCTACAGCTGAAAGTTACCTTAGTGGGAGTGAGTCCCCAGTAGTCCCATTTTCTTCCATGATAAACTAAAACTTTAGGCTATGAAACAATGAAATGGAAAAAGCCCTCTCTTGTTTACTATGCATTTACAAATTAAGTCTTAGAAAAGACATGCATATAAAGCAAAACTCAGAAATTAAAACTCTATACTGCAGGGAAGGAAAGTAGAACAGATAGCGTATGAAATATAATTGACATCTGTACACTGGTCTTTATTCTTTTAATTAATCAGCACAATTCTCTTACTGATTCTTTGGGAATTTCCCATCATGTTCCCCAATCCCATTCATGTCCCAGTCCTTCCGTGTCCACCCTCACCCACTTTTGACTTCTCCATCTTTCCCATCTCTCTGTCACACACCCGCCTCCACAGTGGCAGTGGAACTGAGATGTGTCTCGCCCAAACAGCTTTACTTGCAAATGTTTATTGTAATGAATTGCCAGTCTGGCTCAAGGCCTCTGGTTTCTTCTGTACCATCAATACTGGACCCTCACCAAGACTCCTCTCAGATACAGTTCTGCTGCCCCGCCTCCCCCCGTCACAGAGATCCTGCAGACTTAGTTCCTCAGGACCAGTTTCTTCATGAGCTCCAGCAGATCATGTGTGGGCTAGACGTGAGGGTGGGCCTGGGTGGTGGATGAGTTGGCCTGTCCAGGCCTCCACTGGGGTTGACCCCTCAGGTGAGGGTCAGGGCCAGTTCTCTTGCACCCATGCCATTGGAGCCTCATCTCCCGTGAACATGGTAAGGTGTAGAGCCAACTTTCCCGTGTTCAGAGCCAGTTCTTCTTTTTCAGTGGGCTTGTGGGAAGAGGGGGAAGTTCTCCCAGGGCCATCAAGGCTTAGGGCCAGCTCTCACACCAGTGGGGCTAGTTTCCTGGGGGAGGGCAGCTTACCCATTGAGGAGGCAGGTGAGGGGTGGGACCATCTCCCAGTGCCCAGGCCACTGGACCCATTTCTCCCTTAACCCCTAGTGGTAACACAAGTCAGGGACATCAGTACAGATCTCAGCCATGGATCCAGACATGGCCCTCAGCCACAGCACCAGCTAGGACATCACATGGCCCCAGGTGGCAGTATAGGCCACTCAGATCAGCCTGTTCCTCACTCCCACCTCATCTTCAGCCCTGCTTCTCCCCACAGTGCACTCCGCTTCCCCTTCTCTCCCACTTCTTCCCCACACACCTGTCCTTCTAGTGGCACCCACCCTCCCTGGCCTTGGGGCGCTGGGGATGGGTGGGAGGGTGTGGCTGTCTTCTGCTCACCCAGGCCTTGGTATACCTGTCCAGCCATGTCAAGGGCTGTTGGGCAGATATTTATCCTTTTATTCATTTTTTCCCCTGAATACACTAACCATCCACTAGTTTTAAAAAAATACCATGCATTATTTTAACTATTTCTTCCTAAAATTCTAATGTAAAATATTAAATTATTATGTACAATAACAAATTCAATTAGTTAATTTAAGTGTGTCTGATATGACTTCCATTTTAAGAAGCCCGTGCAGTAAAATCTTTGTTCACTGTTCTCTGGTGCTCTGGGCATTTTCTCAATCTGTTAATATCTCCTCCAGCTCTTCCTTCAATTAAGTGAAACCCACTGTGTGAGAAAGGAGAAAAGAACAGACCATGATTAGCAGGTACACTTTTTATCACTGTCAGTGTTAAATTCACTGAGAAATTGCACTTACAAACTTCATAATTCCCCCAAGTAGAAAACAGAATTATTCTTTTAAGTAGTGTTGAAACTAAAATCATTGAGTTATGTTTTCATTTTTTTAAAATTCTAAGCACTCAGCATGTTACATTACCATAAATTCCTAACTAGAAAGCAGATTAGCGTTTTTGAAAGAAAATTATGACTCCACCATGTGGTTTGTAAACTTAGGTAAGATTAAGATCAAATCTCTCGCTGTTTGTTTATTCAGTATTTAATGTTTATTCACAGTGTCTGTGCATACTGCCATAACAAATGCCATAGAATGGGAAGATAGAACTGACCACAGGAATCTGTCACGAAGAGGCTGAAGATTCTAGCAGGGTAATTCAGAGGCCTTGGCTCTAGGCTTGAAGGCCTAGTGGTACCAACTTGACTTCTTTCTGTGTATAAGGGGGAGCGAGCACTCAAGTCTTTTCCAGGAGTCTGGAAGCAGCAGAGATCAGCCAAGCTGCCTGGAAGGGAATCAGACCACCCACACTCTCTGGAAATGACACCCTCCCACCTGCTGAGCTGGCAGCAGTGCAGTGAGCTCCAGAGTCTCAGCTTTTCAGGAGCTGCTGCTCACGCTGGTGGTTGGTGACGGGCCGTGGAATCATCTCTGCTCCTGTAAACAGCCCATATTCCTACAAGTGACCCAAATGAAACTCACTGGCTCACCAAGTTGAACTTTGGTACTATCTGTGGTGTGCTCTGTCACCGGCTCCCTATCTGGGGTGAGCAGAAGGCCGTTCACACTGTCCCAGGAATACTGAAAGCCACACAGCACCAGCCACTACATGGCCTGGAGGATAGGAGAAGAGACAGTCATTTCACTCTTTCTGGAACAAGTTGTTGCAAAACATAATGAAGTTGGAAGTCCTGAAGCAGAAAGAAACTTAATAACAAATCAGTTTTCACAATGGTATTTTATTCCGCCCACATTTTGTCATATGTGCTTTGGTTCCACGGGTTTTTCTATGCGTTCCCAGATAAAGACTCTGGGCCCCAGGCGGAGTATCACTTGTCTAGTATCACAGTGTCAAGGACGGATTCAGATACAGGTCTCAGAAATCCACAGCCAGTGCTCTATCTGCTTTGATCAATTTCCACTTTGAAACAGATCAAGGAGAGAGCCATATTTAGAAGAACTAGCTACTTCTGTTTTCTGTCCTTGTGGTAGACAGTCCTTTGCTTCGGGAAAAGGCTCTGATATAAGACAGTGGAAAGCCAGCAAGCACACACCCTTTCCCCATGCTCAGCTTGTCGCATTCACCCCATGTTACTGAGGACCATCCACATGTCACCCTCCACTGCAGGAGTCCGTGTGTCATACAAAGCCTCCCGTGTGGACGGTGCAGTCATATTTCAGAGAGACCAAAGGCTGGTTTCCCATCTGTCAGTGTTGATTGTCAAGTTGAGAGGATCTAGAATCACCCTGGTGCCCATGAGGGATTATTCATATTAGGTTAATTGAAGTGGAAAGACCGCCCTAAAAGCAGGCAACACCGTTTCATGGGTTGGGAACCCGGACTGAATGAAAAGGAGAAAGCTAGCTGACACAAGCATCTGTTACTCTCTGCTTCTCGACTGCAGAGGCCATGACTAAGGCTTCTGCTGCCATGATTTACATACCTGGAAATGTCAACCAACTCACCCTTTCTTTAGCTTTTCTGGTCAAGAGATTACAACCCGGCAACAGGAAAAGTAACCAAGATACCAGCTTGTCTAGTCTGTTTTGCTTGCACCACATTTGAGCCTCCTGGAAAAGTGGGTGGATGGAACTTTGAGCTCTTTACAGAAGCTGGAATGGGAGGAAGCAGGGCTTGCATAGTTCATTACCACCTACCTCAGACCCCCAGAGAGAGACCGCAATGGGGCTGGGTACCACGTGGTCAGGAGAGCAAGCAGAGCCTACTCTAAGTTTTACTTAGCAGAAGAGCTACCTGCTTTGAGTCCTGGCAAGCTGGGAGAGTTGGAGACTCAGCCTCTATTCCTACAAGTATAGGCAGGGTTTTATCCCTACTCTGCTAATGTAAAAGGACATTAAATCCACCAAGGGCTTGAATCCTTCCTAGAAGTTGGTTGCCAGGAATGAAGCTGGTCTTTGCCTAGTAGAAACCAAACGGGACCTGAAGTGGTGATTGTAAGGCCAGAGAAAAGTGATAAGAGGCGGAGTAGTGTCGTAAGTTTATTACGGTGCACTTTTCTGATGTCACAGGGCCTTAGAATGAAGGTGCCCCCCTGAGAGGTGACAGGTTTGGTCAGAGAACAGCCCTGGAGCTCAAGGATGATATTTGGGAAGAAGGTAGACCCGGAAGGTGGCAATGGGACAGCTCTCCAGGAGCCCCCTGGTTGCTGGGAGAACAGTCAGGCAGGAGGGAATAATTTCTAACAGCTGGGACCAAGGTAGGACAGTTAATATTTTAGGCAGCTACAAAAGTGAAGTGGTAACGAGACGGTAGCTCTACTCTGAAATCGTAGTGGTTTCACTTGGGATTTGGACCTTCAGTTTCTAGCTGCCTTCAGGTTGCGTAAGGACATCAGGTCCAGGGGGAAGTGCCCTGAGACTTGGCTGGTAAAGGCTTGGCAGAGGGTGGATTAATGACTGAAGTAGTTCTGACAGTCATACCCAGTTACCCGCCTCTTAACCACTGATTTCTTAGTGGCCCCAACCCTCCCTCTTAGGCTCTGCTCTGAAGAGTCCTTGGGTCTTAAGCCAGGCCCAGCCCAGGCAGCAGCTACTCAAACATCTCTGCCTTCTGCCTGTTGGACCAAGAGGGACTCTTCGATGTCCTTGAGCAGGCATTGACCGTTTGTAGGAACTAGGTATCTAGTACAGAGGGAAAGAACTCAACCCTTTCTTCAGAGTCCTAATTTATTTACAAGTTAGTGTATATTTTAATAAATGGGCAGACTTTCATCTTCTGATTTATCTGTGTGCATATGCAAACTATCAGAAAGCAGTGTAGAGGCTAGACTAAGCATCAACTGGATCCCATTTAGCTTTATTTAATGGCACGAAAACCTTCATGGGTTAATGACATGATTCCCATCATGCCGTGCTCCATCCAGTGTCTTCAAGCTATTTGTTTTGTGTCTCCGAGCTTCAGCTGCCCCTGGTTAAAATGTGGACACGCTACTAGATGTCAACAGACGCCTCAGAGGGCGACAAAGGAGCGACTAATTCATGAACAACATCTAGAAAAACACCCAGGCCATTGCTTAAGAGCTCAGCACATACAACTATGCATCTATCAGTGTTCCTAAAATTCTGCCCCATCCAGAAACTGATAACTGAGGTATCCCAAAGAGAGACGTGGAAAGGAAATGGCTGCTTTATTCTGAACGGCACGGTGATGGTAATCGTGTTCTGACTTCCTCACTTGCCACTTCCATCCGTCGCTACTCTGTAGCACGCTGGAAAATCAGCCACAGCACACTCGCCCACCCACAGCCCAGAAGCTCTCTGAAGTTCTTGAGTGAGTCAGCACACCCCCAAACATCTTGGTCACTCATCGGAAGTACACAGCTGCAGGTTCCCGAACAAGCTGCGGCTGCTCTCAGTAAACATGCTCTGGCTAAGGGGGTGGGGGTGGGGGATGTAATGGGGGAGGACACAAGTAGGCATCTTCTTAGGTGTGGGCTATGGCTTCATCTTATATAGGAGAGAGAGAGAGAGAGAGAGAGAGAGAGAGAGAGAGAGAGCTGGAGGATTCACAGTCCCTGGGACAGCTATGCAATAAGCCCAGGTGAGCAGGGTACCACAGACTGCTCAGCCTTGTTGGCTGGAGGAGGCACAGTTGGAGGAAGCCTTGTCCACCCACATCGCCCTTACTGTAAACAACCTGAAAGCCCCAGTTTCACACCCGCCAACTTCACACACCAGCTGAGCCTGGCCGCTTCTGTCAGGTTCTGTTCCTATCTAATTCTCCTTCAGACAGGGCACCTTTTGAAGCTGTGGATGAAGATGCCCTGCTAGAGTTCTGGGGAGTTCTTAGCAGAAGCCATGGACAAGAACTTGGAAATTCTGAATGAAATTTCTCAAGCATATTACACCAAAAGAAATGGACTTTCTGCAAGTAAAATTAGAATTATCTCTCTACCCCACAGGAATCACAAGGTCAGGCTCCTTTGCAAACATACACTGTGTGATATAGATAGGTAGGTAGGTAGATACATACATACATACATACATACATTCATATATACATAATGCAAAATCTTAATTCATGGAATACTTAGGCAAGAAAGGGCCACAGTCTTCAAACATAAGACCATTTCTAAACCTTTAGGCAAATACTCTTCTAAAAATACATTAAACCACCGAAAGGGTACACTGAAATAAAAATTGTGTTTTGAGGATCTAGAATTTTGAAAGGAACCAAGGACAGTAATAGTGTACATCAATTTTTTTGTTAGTTATATTTCAAAATACAATTCTCTCCATCTGACTTTTAATGTGTTGACTTTTTTTCTAGAGGAAATTTGTCCTGAAATGTGTTTTTCATGTGAAGAAGGAACAATAGAACTTCCATCTTTGGTTCTTGGGGAAAGTGTTCAAGCAGCTTAAAAAGGTAGATCCTTGGGAAAAAAAGAAAAAAAACTTGAAAGTGGTAATATTGGGCACCAGAATAAGGTTGGAAATTTTGATTTAAATGCTAATGTGGCACAGAAAGACTCTGATGTGTCTATTTTTCTTTAAGGCATGTCTTAGTTGACCCCAAAGTAATATGAAATGCCAGCATATGCACAATGCTCAGTAGAAGACACCACAGAACAACACTGGTTCCCATACCTTCCCACAGATGAATGCTAATTATTTCTTGCCATTTTTCTGCCCAGCCCACTGCTTTCTAAGCTCTGTCTCGCCGGATCACTGACACCTCTGACACCATGCCTTTCAAAGGTTAGTGGTGACCACAGATTGGCAGCTCGGAGGACGAGTTTCCAGTCTGAGCACTTGCCACCTGCCCTTTGGCATGTGGTGTCAACCACCACACCCTCTTCCTCTGCTGTCTACGAGGCTCATTTTGATTCTCTGCAACTTGGCTCTCTCTTTTCAGTCCTTCCCTCCCTTTCTGCCCCTTCAGGCTGCTGCTGTTGCAGCTGAAGATTTCACCGTTATCCCCCTCCCTGCAGTAACACACACCCTCTGGAGACTTCCGCGAGTCCCGCGCTCCCACTGCCACTGGAGACGAAACTGCTCAGATATTTCCGTCTAGCCCATAGGCAGGCACTGAGCTCTAAACCCATACTCAGCTGCACTGGGCCTTCCCACGTCCCTTCTTCCTGTTTCTTGACTCAGATCTTGCTAAGTAGCGTACCCAGGGGCGGCTCAAAGCCAATGTTCAAGGCTTTGTACGTGTCCTATCCAATTTCTGCTGTGCTCAATCCCAGATGGGAATTCTGCTTCCTTAACCTATGTCTGTCCCTCTCATCCTCCCAAAACACCACTCCTTGGTACACTCGAGAGCAGAATACCTCCCTAACTTTTTCTGTCTCATGAGGTCTATCCACAAACTTATCTCATAGACTAGCTGCCTCAAAGTACAGCATTTCGAGTGTTTTCCTGAAAAAGCTCAACTTTCCCTGAAAAAGTTTCAGCTCCCAACCAAAAAAAGATATTATTATTATTATTATTATTATTATTATTATTATTATTATAAATTATTCCTAAAGAATGTAGACGTGGAGGCTGGAGCATGACTCGGTCTTCACAGTGCTTGCTACTCTTACGGAAATCCCAAGTTCACTCATTCTCCACCCACACATCCCAATTCAGGCAGCTCACAACCACCCATAACCCCAGCCCTAAGGAATCCAGTGTTTTCTTCTGGCTTCCACAAGTGTCTGCACTCACATACGCATACACACATACATACAGACAAACATACACATAATTAAAGATTAAATTTTAAGTGTAAAAAATGTCTGTCCCTTTCTAAGGCATCTTATGTAAAACAGTCAGTATAAAAAAATATTCTCAATAATTTTTTTCAAAAGATGATCACTTGTTGGGACCTGTGGATCCCTGGCCTGCCTCAGGATTTCTTTGTCTGCCTCAGACCCTTTGCCTGCTGGAGTGAACTGAGCAAAACCCCTGTGCCTGCAGCTGCTCTGAGCACGAGACCCTGATGGCATCTCCTGATGCAGCTGAATGATCCCGAGAGCTGGGGCATGGCTATCAGTTAAGGGTCCCTACAAGCTTCCCTGGGGCACAATAAAGTTGGCATTCTTGTATCAAGGATGACCCGTGTCCATGCCTCTCTCTGTCTCTGTGTGTGTTTTTAAAGTCTCCAGGCCCAGTTCCCAGCTCTTGTGCTGGCCTGTAGTGGACAGGCACTACAGGCGTGGTACCATAGGGCGTAGAATTACCATAGAGCGTAGAATTACCATAGAGCGTAGAATTACCATAGAGCGTAAAATTACCATAGAGCGTAGAATGGACGCTGTGCTTTACAATCGCTAATTTTTTTTAACATGCCTTGTAAAAATATTGACGGGCCACTTTTATGCTGAGTGGCAGGGTGACCAGATGAAGTGAGCTGAGCTAGGCAGCACATGGTAACCCGACACGTGAACAAGGACATGCTAGCTACCACTAAATGAGCTGCAGGATGTATCAGAGAAAAACCCGGAAACTGCTTTAGCCTGGTGTCTTAGTTTGGGTTTCTGTTGCTGTGATAAAACGCCATGACCAAAAACAAGTTCAGGAGGAAAGAATTTATTTGGCTTCCACATTTCATCACTGAAGGAAGTTGGGACAGGAACTCAAACATGGCAGGATCCTGCTGATGCAGAGGCTATTGAATGCTGTTTACTGGCTTGTTCCCCATGGCTCATTCAGTCTGCTTTCTTATAGAACCAGGACCATTACCCACAATGGGCTGGGCCCTGCCACATTGATCACTAATTAAGAAAATTCCCTACAGCCTTCTACTACCCCTTTTAATGGAGACATTTTCCTAATTGAGGTTCCTTCCTTTCAGATGACTGTAACTTGTGTCAAGTTGACATAAAAGTAGCCAGCACAGCTGCCAACTGGACACACAAACACATCACTGTTAAACCACCACCTTTCCTTTCTTGTTGATCACCAAGATCACACATTAATATAAACCTCAAATATAAAACATTTCATAAACTTAAAATGTCCCACGTTCTTAGAAATCTAAACACTTAAAAGCCTCAGTCTCTCTTCAAATCCTAAGTCTCTTTTAAAACTACCAGTTATCAACTGTGGGCTCCTATGAAGTCAAAAAATAAGCAAGGTACATTCTTATTTTAAGAAGAAAGAACCAGGATGCAGTCACGATCTGAGCAAAGTAAACTCTTTTACTTGGCAGTGTAAATATCTCAGTGTCTAGTGACTGGGATCCACTCACCATCGTGTGGGATTCTCCAAAGGGCTTGGGCCACTTTTCCAGCTCCACCTTCTAAACTTATCTTCTAGGCTCCAGCTAGCTCCACTGTTACTTGGTGGTTATCCCATGATACAGGCATCTCAAATGTTGGTGTATTCTGCTACAATCTGGGCTGCACTTTCAGCAGCAGCTTCTCCCAGGCTGTTCCAGATCTCCAGTCCTGCTGCACAGTGCCAAGTCTTAGCCGTTCTCCACGGCCCCTCCATGCTTTCAAACCCAGGACCACCTGAGTTGACTTCTTATATGATCAAGTTTGCTGCCAGCATAAGAGACAACGTTGGCTGCTTCAAGCTGACTCTGAGGAGATGCTTCCCAGAAGATTCTGCCTCAATGATGCTGGTGTCTTCTCAATCACCACTAATTTCTCAGCTCCAGCTGACCAGCATCAATTGTTCCAGCAAAGCTAAGGTTTCACTTTTGCACTTTGGACATCTTGTTAATCACAGCTTGTTCTCACAGCTAGTTCTCCAGCCACATCTAACCAGAACCACTGTTTCTTAACTCAGAATATTCAACGGCCCAATAGAAACTTAGAGTGACTCTCAGATTTGCCCCTGGAACTCATCAAGCCAGGCCTGCATTGTCTGCATTTCTCTCAGCATTCTTATCTTCCAAGTTCCCACAGAACAACTCACTAAACTTTTAATACTCAGTGGCTTTTTTAGCCCAAATTTTCATAGTCCTTCCACAGTCCTCCCCCAAACAATTTAGTCAGGTCTGTCACAGCAATACCACAAGGATCCTGGTGCAAATTTCTATCTTAGGTAGGGCTACTTTTGCTGTGATCAAACACCATGACCAAAAGCAAGTCAGGGAGGAAGGGGTTTATTAGGCTTACATTCCCACAGCATAGTCCATCATTGAAGAAAGTCAGGACAGGAACTCAAATAGGGCAGGAACCTGGAGACAGGAGCTGATGCAGAGGCCATGGAGGGTGCTGCTTACTAGCTTTCATGACGTGCTCAACCTGCTTTCTCATAGAACCCAGGACCACCAGCCCAGGGCTGGCACCACCCTCAAAGGGCTGGACTTCCCCCATCAATCACTAATTGAGAAAGTGCCCTCCAGGCTTGCCCGCAGTCCAGTCTTAAGGAGGTATTTTCTCTCTTGAAGCCTCCTCCTCTCTGATGACTCTGGTTTTGTCATGTTGGCATAAAACCAGCCATCACAGCTAATTCCATATAAACTGAGGCATCTGTGCTTAAAAACATAGGGACAACCAGGAGGGAAAACATTACAAGCCAGAAAGACTCCTTATTGAAAAGTCATGAGGCCGGCAATCAGTTGAATCTTCTAAAAAAAAAAAAAAAAAAAGCAAGGGGTCAGGGGTCGGTAGTCCAAAAACAGGGAGCAAGGAGCACCAGTGGCTTGTGGGTGTTACAGATTTAACTCACAAGCCCTAAGCTGATCCTGCAAGGCAGGATTTACTGTTTTCTCTCATACTAGGGGGAGAGGGGAGAGGGAAGAAAACGGAGTTTTTCTTAGCAGTGCCTGTGATTCCAGAGCAGCATAAATCCAATGTGTGTGATATCCAAGACATTTCCCAAATGATCCATCCCCAGCTGTGCCTCAGTTGACCTCAGTTGGTCACTGGTTTCTCTGACATCTTGACACAAAGGAAAGTCTTTCAGGAGCTCTTTACATATTCGAAAGAGTCGCTAAAATGTGTGAAACTCGGGGCAGCAAGTTCTTAAACATTTGTTCTTAAACATTGTTAAGAACCAATGTTCTTAAACATTTGTGTTTTCTGAGCACAAAATAATATATGAATATTTAAATTAAAGCAATAGATATGTAAAAGGAGAAAATATTTCCCAAATATCTTTTTTTAAATTGACTTCTTAAGGTTTGTGGCTTTAGTTTCATTTTATTGTATGTATTCAATTTTCTGTGATAGTAAACATGGCCGGGAGTGTATGAAGGACAATAGGTGGGTGGTGAGAGGGCTCAGGGGTTCAGAGCACTTGGAGCTTGTACAGAGGACCAGAGCTGGGTCAGACAGCTCAAAACACTGGTAACTCCAGTTCCATTGGATATCTATCCTATGCCCTCTTCTGGCACACACACACGCACACACACATGCATGTACACAAGCATACATGCACACAGAAATAAAGATGAAACTTATCTTCTAAAACTTTTATTGAAAAACTAATAACTTCTGTGTCCACTCAGGGCATCAGACAGAGCGTTATCAACCCTGTGAGCTGCTTCTTTCTACTTCCATTGTACATGGCCTTCCCAGCACAAATATACAGTTTTCATGTTGATGCTTATTGTATCATGCTTTTAGAATACTGAAAGTCATGCTTTTAGAATACTGAAAGTGACTCATAGGTGTATTTTTCATACATTTAACTTTATATGTTTTCAGGATATTCATGACTTCCATTCCCAAAGTTGAAGCAGAGCTGAGGAAAAATAATTTAAAATTGATGAAGAAAAATAATTAATAATCTTTTATGTTTATTTTTTATAATCATCCCCAAATGAGAAACACTGTAGTAGGTCTTCACTACTGATGGGATAAATTAGATAGTGACATCTACACTCAATGGAACGTCATTTATTAAAAAAAAAAGGCAAACAAATAGTGATCAACATTGTTGATCTTTCATGCATTTTTGTAAAGTAAAAGAAGCCAATGCCAATATGAAAGTTTATGGCTGACTTTTTATAGTGCATTAAATATACAACGCTGGGAAACAGATAAGTGGTTACTGGCATTAAAGGATGAGGGTGGGGCTGTCTACAAGGGGACAGGGTAGGGAACTTAAGGGCTAATAGAACAAAATTGACATTTGGTAAGATACACACAAGGCTGTGCACTTGGCATAGAAATTTGCATCATTAAAAACTAAAATTGATCAGGTTGGGGACATGGAAGACAGACTGCGCACATTGTCCATGAATATCTTCCCTGTAGTGGATTAAACATGAAATGTCTCTCCAACACAGGCTCATGTGTTTCAGTACCTGGTCCCCAGCTGGTGATGCTGGCTTTGGAGGCGAGCCTTGCCTTCCCTGCCATGGCGGACTGTATCTTCTGAAACTGTGAGCCAAATTAAGTTTTCTTCCTTTCAGTTGTTTTGTCAGCTATTTGGTTACAGCAATGAGAAAAGTTAATTAATGGAAACCCTTGAAGAAGGCAGTAGTGGAGGAAAAACTGGTCTAAGTAACTGACTAAGACTGTTTTTAATAAGTACTATGGCTTAAAACAAACCGTTCATGTTATACTCTAGCGTGTAAATGTGTTTTTTATGAGCATATGGTTTTGCAATTCTAAAACTTTTTACTTGTATATGAGGTTTGAACAAAAGCATTAAATATATTGCAGATACTAAAGTGAAGGCTTACGACTATTGGAAAAACAAACTAGAAATAAGGAAAGTGTCAAGGCTACACAGGACTCAGGATTTCGTGATTACGATAGATGATGATGATGATGATGAAGATAGATAGATAGATAGATGATAGATAGATAGATGATAGATGATAGATAGATAGATAGATAGATGATAGATAGATAGATGATAGACACAGTAATAAAACCAACATACTTTCCTTTACTTCTATTCATTGAAAATAGCTAGACACAGTGACACTTTGGTAGAAATTGTGTACATTGCACACTCAGTGTGTGGTAGAGTCAAGTTCCCTTCATGGCCTGTCTAGCAGGCTATCTGTAAATCTATGACAATAGAGCCTTGAGTATATTAAAGATAGATACCAGAAACATGGGTTGTTTGTCAAGGAAAGCTGTAGTCCCAAAGTGGAGTTGGGCCAAGAAAGAGGCCATATGTGCCAAGAGCTATAGAGCCAGCACTACCTAAGCCTGTTGAAGTATGTTGGATGGTGCACCATGAGCCCCAGATGATAAAGGTGGAGTTGTGGGGTTTGTGTTTGGTATTATGGTATCTGATCTTCCGTGCCAATGTCTACATTCCTCCCCTTTGTAATGGATTGTTTAACCTATGCCATTGAATACTGTAACATGAAGGCCAGCTTGTTGGGGTATCTGTCCCGCCCAGTACCCCACAACCGGCAAGCCCCAGAGAAAATTCAACCACACAGAGATCTCTATAAGTTATAAGCTGATTGGCCCATTAGGTCAGGCTACTTATTAGCTCTTATAACTTATGTTACCCCATTATCCTTATCTATGTTAGCCACATGGCTCAGTACCTTTTCCAGCAGGGCAGCTTACATCTTTCCTCTCCGGTGGTCTGGGCAGAACTACGGAGGAAGCTTCCTGCTTCCCAGAATACTCCCAGTCTCTTTGCTCCACCTCTACTTCCTGTCTGATTTTCCCGCCTATACTGCCTGCCTGGCCAATCAGCGTTTTATTAAAATACATGATTGACAGAATACAGACAATTCTCCCACACCAGAATACTAGAAGTATAAACCTATTTCTCAACTGCCTAGAGTTGTCCTAAGTTTCTGAAGAGACTCGGGCTATTAGACTTTTGAATAGTATTTGAACTATTAAAGACTGTCTATCACCAGTGGGGTGAGGGGATTGACAAAGGGTGGACTTCTGATGGCTAATCTCCATCCACAAATTGTCTGGAATTATAATCACCCAGAAGTCACACCCGTGGCTTTATCTGGTAAGAGTATTTCCAAAGAGGTTTAACCAAGAAAGGAAGACATACCTAAAGTGGGCGGCATTGTGTCATAAACTGGGATCCTGGATGAATAAGACATTTAAAAGGGAGAAAATGAACTGAGCACCTGTGTTCATCTCTCTCTGCTCTGAGACAATGGAACATTTCCCTATTCTGAGGTGGCTGTCACAACAACTGACTTCCTCTCCTCTCGTTCTTCATATTATAGGTCCTGCAGGAACACACATTAACCATGAGTGACGGGAGGAAGAAAGGAGCTCCTGACAGAAGCATGCTCTTCCCATGAGTGAAAGGAGGATTGGAGGGGTGAATGTGAATGGAAGCCATGGTCCAGCAGAAAACATCACTTTGGTTCTACCCTTGCCGCATCTCTGCACACCTTTTCTGATATATCCCCTGTCTTTGCCAACCAAAGGAGACTCATTTCTTTTTTTTATTAAAAAATTTTTTCATAAAATGTATTTTGAGCATGTTTTTTCCTCCCCCACCTCCCTACCCACTCAACTTTGTGATGCTTTCTTGCTCTCTTGCTCGCTCACTCTCTTTCTCAAAGAAACAAAAACAAAAACGAAAGAAGCAAGAAGCAACAACAATAAAAACCCCACAAAAACAAAATTAAAAAAAAAAACAGGCAAAATATCAATGAGACAAAAAAAAAATCCCCAAAGAAAACAAAACAAAAAAGTACTCAAAAACACCGCTGAGTCAATTTTGTGTTAGCAGAGTACTCCTGGGCATGGACGGTACTTACCCGGGATTATGGTTGATCAAAGTGTCCCCCACCCACACCCTGTGACATTCCATTGGATAAAGCCCTTTGCCAGTAGGTATCAACTGCAGATAACTTCTTGGTTGGGGTCAGACCATGTCCACTTCCTCCTTTCAGTGTAAGACCCCATCTGGCTTCAACCTGTCCGAGTCTTGTGTGTGCTGCTACAGTCTCTGTGGGTTCATAAGTGCCTCACTTCTGTTGGGTCAGGAAGACACTGTTTTTTTCGGTGTCCTCCGTCACCTCTGGCCCTTACAATCTTTCTACCTTCTCTTCTATATAGACACTTGAGTCTTGAGAGAAAGAGTTTGATGAGGACATACCATTTAAGACTTAGTGCTCCAAAGCCTCATTCTCTGAACATTGTCCAGCTGTGAGCCACTGTGTTAATCCCCATCTATGCAGGAAGAAACTTCTCTGATGAGGACTGAATGGTGTTAAATCACCATGCCTAAAACTCAGTTCCAAATGCATCAAGGACTTCAACAAAAGGCTTAATATGCTCAATATGAGAGAAGAGAAAGTGGAGAATAGCCTTGAACTCATGACACAGGAAAGGACTTCTGAATAGAAGAACAGTATCACAGGTACCAGAAGCAACAATTAAAAAATGGGACCTCATGCAAACAAAAGGCTTCTTATATGGTATCACTCAGGAAAAGTGGCAGCCTACATAATGGGAAAAGATCTTTACCAATTATACATATGAGAGATGGTTAGTATCTAGAATATATACAGAACTTAAAAAAAAAATTGGACATCAAGAAAACAAATGAGCTAAGGGAGAAATGGGGTACAGAACTAAGCAGAGAGTTCTCAAAAGGTGAAACATAATGACTGATTTAAAGAAATATTCAACATCGTTAGCCACCGTGGAAATGCAAATTAAAACTACTTTGAGATTTCAATTTACCCCACCTAGAATGGCCAGAGCAATAAAGCAATTGACAGAACATGTTGGTGAGGATGTAGGAAAATGGGAATATTTATTTACTGTTGGTGAGAACTAGAAACTGGTACCGCCACTGTGGATATCAGTGTGGAAATTCCTCAAAAAGTTAAAAATCTATCTCTCAAGATTCATCTATACCACTCTTGAGTATATACCCAAAGGACTCAACATAGTACAACTTTCTCATTCATGTTCATTGCTGTTCTATTCATAAAGTAGCCAGAAACTGGAAGCAGCCTAACTGCTCATCAACTGATGAATAGAAAATGAAAATGAGGTACATTTACATAGTGGGATATGATTCAGCTATTAAGATAAATTAAATTAAAAGTTTTCAGGTACATGAATGAAGCTAGGAAAGAAATCATCCTGAGTGAAGTAACCCAAACTTCCGAAGAAAAATATTGTATTTTCTCTTATATGTGATTTTAGATATAGATTAAGGTTTCAATATGTATGCTTCAATCTGATTAGCCACGGAGGTTAGGTATCTAGTAGGAAACCAGTGGGGCAGAGAGCATCTTCCAAGGAAGGGGAAGTAGTGTCATGGAGAGATAAAGGAGGAACTAGAATGAAATAATTAAATGGCGGGGGGAGAAAGAGCAAACTGGGAGGGGCAGCTAGCACTAATGGCGCAGGTTGAAACCGGTGGCTGCATGTGGCAGAACTCCTGAAGACGGTGTCTTTTCTCTTTTGTTGTTGGCTTCTTTGACTAACATCAGGTGTCTGTAGTTGTGTGGATTCAATGTCTGGGTCTTCAATTTAATTTTATTAATCAGTGTGAGGCTCTTTTCTTCTTTTCCAGGGTTTATTGCCCAGACATAGTGCCCAGCAGGAGTCAGAATCTCCCACTCCAGACTGGCTTACCCTTCTCCTGAAAGTGTGGCTTCTGGGATCGGGCTACCTAGATTTGATCTCTGTGTCTGCCCTTTATTAGCTGAGGGATCCTGGGCCTCAGTTTCCTTGTTTGTAAAAAAAAAAAAAAAGGAGTGGTAATATCAGTCCCATCCCTAGGCTTTCCAAAGTAAGCACAGACACCCATTTCAAATCCAAAACAGATGTTGAGCACAATTATTACCAACTCCAATTAATCATCCAGACAACACACATTAACAACGAAGGTACTGTGTGACTATTGATGGCTGCAAATAAAAACCTCCAGTAAAAAACGCAGAAAACAAAATAATGGATTTCACTTAGTGCTAGTTTTGATTAGGCGTTAGCCAAGACATTTAGTGATTTCTGTTGTCATTTTACTTTCCCAGCCCGAAACCCTGAGAATAAAAGTGTGACAAGGGAGTGGGAGGTACACGTGACACCTGAGTCTCACAGATGTGTTTTTCAGAACCCCCACCTCTCTGGAGTCTGGTAGATACATTTTGGAGAACCTCTGCCTCAGCCCCCCTAAACCTCATCGTTTGTCTCAGAGCTGAGAAGTAGCAAGCAAGGAGTCTAGCTCAGCCCAGCCCCCAGTCCTGGTGCTGTCAACTGACAAAGGCCGCCCCCTCTTTTTTCTTTCTTTCTTTACTGACTTTTGAATCCCTGCTTGGTCTGTTTTCCCAATACAACGAGCGTTCTAGAAAGAACTCTCATTTTGCTTCTGATGAGCTGGCTGTAACCACCTCTTCAAAGACTCCCTGTTTCCCACCAGCTTCCCCCAAGAGGAAGCAGAAATCAAATATCTGGTACTGATTAACACAGCTAGGGAACTGTTTCCCTTCTAGACTGCCCCGAAATGCCCATATTGCCTGGACGAGTCTCTTCATGCTCTGGCATTTGAGATACAGCTGTTGTTGTTGGGGTGAATTGCATGTGAATCAGGCTTCGACAGCACCATTCTGGCCTCATCTCTGAGACAAGGAAAAAAGATTAAAATAAATGTTTCCACACTTTAGCAAAGAAAATCCAGTCTGCGGTTTCCCTGGCACTGCCTACCACACCACTGAGAACTTCAAGTCATTGTGTCCCATCGCGTTACTATTTTCCTTATTTGCTAAGGTGATGCTCAAAATAAAAACCAGTTTCCTTAGCAGCATTTGATTTTGATTTTTACTGAAACTTGCGTGGTTAAGAACATTCTTATAACTAGCAGATGCGTGACCTTTAAGTCAGGGGGGGAAAATCTCTTAAAAGCAGATTTTTTTTTTCTATCAGCTCAGTCTCCCTCTTCTTACATCAGAGACAGCAACCTCGGAGGGATGTGACTCCCAGCTATGCCCTGTAATCAACCGATCCTCTTCTCCACTTCTCAGTTCCTGGGGAACTCCAGGTCTCTGGACAATCACCATATGATGGTTACCCGTCAAAACGTTTCAAGATTTGTCTTTGTGTTATATGAGCTGAACTTGCCTGCAATAAACATGGAAAACCAGCAGACGGGATGGAGGCAGCAGCAGTGTTGCTCATATACTGTTTTCATTATTTCTTTGAGAATTCCGCACGATGTATTTTGATATTTACCCCCATTCATCTCCCTCACACCTCCTAGATTGACTCCTACATCTCTGCCTTCTCCAAACTTCATATCATTTCTTCGTTTTTATTTTTGTTTTAATTCACTGTGTCCGATTTGCACTATGTACTCACGGGTATGGGAGCATCCATTGGCCCCTAGTCCATCTAACAGGGGCCACATCCTTGAAGTAAATGAGCCTCCCTACTCCAGCAACCATTGGCGGTCAATAGCTCCTCAGTCAGAGGTGGGGCTGCTGAGGTCTTCCTGCTCCATGCTGAAATAGTAACCGCTTGAACTTGTTCAGGTCTTGTTTGGGCAACCACAGCTGCTATGAACTCATGAGCATAGAAATCCTGCCATGTTAGAAGACAATGTTTCTCTCTTTCTGCCTTCTGTTGAGAGAGGGTCCTTGAACCTTGGTGGGTTGGTGATATAAATGTCATTTATGAGCATTCTACTGACACTTATTTTCCACACTTTGGTCATCGTAAGATTCTGGGCTTAACATGAGTACACCAAGGATCACAATGACTCAGAAGCACAGGCCAGGCGAACTTGCCCCCTAGTCTTAGGATGGATATAGAATTTGTGCAGAAATTACCAGTCTCCACTTTGTTCTCAAGGATGATAGCTTGAGACTGTTCTCCACAGACGCTTCCCTGGGATAAGGGATGATGTTCCTATTGTCCACTGTGTATAATAAATAGGCAAAGTTTGGGGTTGCTGCTGTGTCTCTATTAGAGCATACAGTCCACCCTTTCTCAGTCACAACAAAAAAGATTCTGTGCTTAAAAGTGACTTTTAACCAGACCAACATTAAATGAGACGGCTCATATCTTTCTCATGCACACATCAGTTAAGAGTCTAATAACTTGATGCTCCGGAAAAGTCAGCAAGCCTCAGGTGTTGAGACCATTGGCTGAAAGCCATAGGAACTCCAGGGGAGAGAAGCTGAGGCTTGCCCGTGACTCACAGGGCTCACCTCTGCTGTGGCTCGCTCTGGTTTTGTGTTGTCCTGATTCACCCCAAATTCACCCTTGATTCAGCCCTGAGTCATGAATTAAAGTAGAACTCAAGGAAACAGCCTTCAACACTATTATGACAAAACACCTCCACCAGATTAGCTTATAAACCGACCATCACTGTCCTGCTGTCAGGTAGACAGGGTCACAGTCGCAGGTGGAATTGGAGTCTGGTCCCTTGCTTAAATTCCATCAATCTCAGTGTTTTAGCC